TTTATATATAATAGGAGAGGCAAAGAAATGTTATAATGACAAGTGTCATAATTTCTATTAACAATATAATTATACTAAATATTGGATAATATAATAAATAAAAATACATAACGAAAAAATTATTTGATGACTATATAAGTCCCTTTAATTTAATGGAGATTTTATTTATTAAAATTTAGACAATATCTATATCTATTTATATATAATAGGAGAGGCAAAGAAATGTTATAATGACAAGTGTCATAATTTCTATTAACAATATAATTATACTAAATATTGGATAATATAATAAATAAAAATACATAACGAAAAAATTATTTGATGACTATATAAGTCCCTTTAATTTAATGGAGATTTTATTTATTAAAATTTAGACAATATCTATTCTATTTATATAGAATAGGATAATCAAATAATTGTGATAATTCCAAATGTAACATCGAAAAATTAACAAAGTGACAAATATTTTTTTAATATTGACCGCGCATCGCGCGGGTACGACTACTAGAATGTTTAAAAGACAATGAAATTGATATCAATTGTAACTAATGTTGTTCAGTTGCTTCTAGTCATTGGGGTTTGATCCCCGATGGTAGCGTTTTTGGTGTGTTATTAACTTTATTTGCTTACTGTCATCAACTCACAGTTAAATGAGCTGACTGAAAAGGTGAATGCCCAGAATGCAGAGATAACAGAGTTGACTAAAAAGCTGAATGCCCAGGATGCAAGAGATAGCAGAGTTGAAGAAACTAGGGAAGGCCTAAACTCAGTAAGACGATGGGTATGAGTCGTACTACTACCGGCTAAGGCTGTATTTGGTCCGGGCCCAGCCCGGGACCGGTATCGCGAGCCCACATGGGCTTTGGGCTAAACGGGCTGACTCGTGTGGTCCGGTCCCAAGCGGTCCTAGGAGCCCATTGTGGACCGGTCCTACATGTAGAGACCTCGAGCTCGGGACCGGCTGGCGGGCCTAGGACGGTTCAACCAGGCCTAACGGCTATTTTTCAGAAAAAAAATAAATTTTTTTTTAATAATTGGCCAACGGTTGGAAGTTTAAAAACTAGCCGTTGGCCTGCCAATTTAGCCGTTTGGCTTTTTGAAAAATAGTCATTTGCTCCCCAAACTTTGTTTTTAACCCCAAACTTTTTATAATTATACTTTTTCCTTATTCTCAACGATAAATACCCCCTCATTCTTTCATTTTTACTCACAAAATCATCAATCTCTCTTTAATTTTCTTCTATAATTCCTTACTTTATTATTGCAATTTGTGAAAATTGTGAAGTTGGTGAATTGAAGTATTCAACATATACAATTTTCAACAGGGTATCAAGTTCAAACGACCTCAAATTAGATAGAGCGGGATTGATGGAACCTGTGGTCGTCTCAAAATAGAAAGACGTGCAGACGTTCCAACATGAGGTGTTCCAAAAGGAACTTAAGAGAAAAGAAGAGGAGTGGAGAAAAGGTCCGCTCTTATAGAAGAACTACAGAGGCATATTATATAATAAATATTAGTGCTTCATATTCTTGGGGCAACATTTGGGGATCTAAGGCAACGGTTTCACTTGCCTTACCTTACATCCGCCTTGCAGCCACAGTCACAACAACTACCACAACCATAATAATAACACAGCCATAACCACAGCCACAACAACTGGATGAGTAGTTTGAGATAGGATGATTGGTATTTGGTACTAAGTTGTGATTTTGTTACCTCGACAAAATTTAAGCACAATAATTATGTTTTAACAGAATAAACCGACAATGGCAAAGCAAACCTTATCATGTTTCATAGCAAGGTACAAGTAGAGTTGTCAATATGGGCGGGGCCGAGATAGCCCAGCCCAGCTCACGTGGGCTTTAGCAATTGGCGGGCTTGGCTGGGCTAGTCCACCATTTTGATGGGTCTTATAATGATCAGCCCACCCCAGCCCTATGTGGGCTACGGGTGGCCCGTCATTTTTTAAATATAATTTTATATTTTTTCTTTAATTTCTAAACTAAAAAAAGATAAATATTTAAAAGTTAAAAAATCTTATTGGAAAATTTTCACAAAACTTAATAACTTTTTATATTGTTCCAATATATGATATACAATAAAAAGGTAAAAGACAACACTAATATTTCATTCACTAAAAGTTAAAAGTCAAAACAAACTATTCAATTGAACATCCTTGATGTTTATAGGATATCCAACACATCGTCTCATCAAACACATTTGAATCCGCTTGTGAGAAGGTTGTCTTAATATATTCACTTTTATCTACATCTACAATTCGTATGCAATATTAATTAGTTAAATATTAAGAATAATTAAATTTTTAAAACTAATTAATGTTTTAAGANTAAAACTAATTAACGTTTTAAGACTTTGATCTTTTAATACAATGAGCTTAATAAACTTTAAGCTTGGGATACTCTTCTTATTATTTTTTGTGTCATATACTTTTTATATATTATATATTTTAAATACGTATTTTTATTAGGCCCACGTGCCGACCCAGCCCAGCCTCAGTTAAGTCTCAGGGCCACGGGCTTACTCGGGCCAGGCTTAAAAGTCTCGTTTTTAAACGGGCTCCAAAAATTCTAGCTCAACCCTGCTAAATCACGGGTTGGGCTGGGTTGGCCTAACGGGCTGAGCCCATATTGACGGCTATAGGTACAAGTAATAAAATAATCATACAACAAAGTTGAAGTATAAATTGCTGTGAAAGAGTGATTTCTGCATTTCTGTTGTTACAACATGATCACCCTAATTAACAAGAAGATACTCACTTGTAAAAAAACCTTTCTGTAGGCAATGTGAGGACTAGAGTAAGAGCTTGAAGAGAGTTTTATTCATCTTTTTTTTAGTGGAATAATATACAAACCACAAAGCTACAAGATACAACAACATTTACACGACGAAAGGAAATCTCAAGTTGATTGATCATTGATCAAGTACAATTTTTGACCATCAACAATCATATCTATATCAAGAATTTTACCAGCATCTTCTGATAATATACAAGAGTCAGATGGAAAATTGAGTTTCTCAGATGCTGTGGTAACGAGCTCCTCGATAGTCTGAGGTATCCACATTACAACACCATGTTTTCTCACATCTTTGGACTCCCATGGGTGGAAAGGAAACACAGTACATTTCCTCGGACGCAATTTTTCTGTTATTATGCAGAGAGATTTACAGTTAGGGGGATTAAAACAGCTTCACTTACACCAAAATATGCAATGCTACTAGTTTTTGGCAATCAGATGGACTTTATGAGTCTTTGGGTTGAATACTCAGATAAAATATTTCAAAGAAGAGTTTAAGTTATCTTGCAAGATGACAAGGTTGTTCTAGCAATACCTGACATCTCATGTGGAACATCAGGGAATTCAGATAACTGAGCAGATTTTGCTTCTTCCAGAAGACCGATCATTTGCTTGTTTCCACTTACTCTAGCTTCATCAACTGGAGTATTTCCCCATCTGAAACATGACAAAGATTTAGCTGCACGCGAAACTTGCAATCTGAGAGTAGACGTACGTGCACAATATACTGCTTGTACAATGTCATATTTCGAAACAAGAGCTACCAAGATTTCTGAGAAGTTACTTCAAACTATACCTATCTTTTGTGAAAACAGAAGCGCCAGCTCCCAAGAGCAATTTCGCCATTGAGTATAGCCCTTGAGAAGCAGCAACATGAAGTGGTGTTCGTTGATCATAGTCTTTGGAGTTGGGATCAACACCATTGGACAATAGCCTTCGCAATAGATCTGAATCGCCCTTTGCTATCACCATACAAAGGAAACTACCAGCATTTTCAATTTTCAACAGAGCCCCTTCCTTAACAAGTAATGAAGCAACGCGATCATGTCCACTTTTGATTGCTTCAAGCAGTGGCGTGTTGCCAAATTTATCTATTTGGTAAAAAGCAACATAAGTTACAAATCAAATATTTGCACGAACGAGGACTTGTTGAAGATAAGTGCAGTCGCTTAAGAAATTTACCTGGAACATTTATATCAACGCCTTCTTGGATAAGGAAAAGAGTTATGTCTTCGTAGCCTCTCGATGCTGCAAGATGCTGTTCAAAAGAAAACATTGATTAGTAGTAGCAATTTGCAATCGTCGAATTTTAGTAATCTAGATACCTAATTAGATAGCTTACATATTTTCAAAGACAGCCCTCTTAAGGGCTTGTAAACACTCATATAGCTTTATAAACCCAAAAAATGTATATGATTCATTGGAATAAACTAGTACCAGGGGTGATCTTCCATCATAATCTTTCTTGTTGGGATCAGCTCCAGCGCGAATTAGGCTCTTCAGCTGATGCAAATCACCGTGATAAGCTGCACTATTCACTTTCAAAGCAAGTTCTGCTTCGTGCTTCCCTATATGGAATGCGATATCTGACTCCAGTTGCTTCACGCGGAGATTGGATTCTTTTCCCTGTCACAATATACTACTTTAGACTTTTTGAGTCTGCAAACCATGTTTTAATGGAAAAGCAGTCCATTTCTCAAAAGGAGAGGAAAGAAAAAGGTTATAATTGCGAGACTCAGGATTCTAATTCAGAAGTTTGTTCCATGCCATTTTCTTATGCTACTCATACCAAGATAGAAAAGGGTAGAGGGTATGGGACGGGCTGAACTCATGATTCATTAGATGCTTTTTATGAATGTTAACTAAGTATCATATTGTTGTAAGTAAATTGATCTCGTTGTTGATGAACTAAACCAGATAGTTATATGAGTGGAAAAAACGACTTCTAAATTTGCAGTAATAAGGTTGAGTCTCATTTCCCTTACCTGTAGTAAATTACTCAAGATTCTTCTTCCATCATGAAAATAAATCTCCAGAATATTGGAAAATGACTGCTTATCGATACGTAAGAGCCTACACAGTTCACAAACACGAACTGTATATGGTTGAGGAATGTTGCAAACAATGGAAATATCTCCAAATGAGCTGTTAGGTTCAAGAAGTGCCACTGTCTCTTCTGATCCATCCTTCGCTATACCAACCTCCTCCTGAATTAAACAAACACACAATGAGTAACTGTGGAAACAAATGTAAACAAATGGCTGGACATAAAATTTGTTGCAACATAAAGAGCTGAGCAGGTGTAATTGATTGTAGAACGTCGTACCAGAACGCCATGACAGACAAAATAAAGCTGGTCTACTACATTCCCTTGTTCCATTATCACTTCTCCGGGGAGGAAAAATTCTTCGTGGACTCGAGTTACCTGCAAAAATTTAACAGTATCCAAAATCAGTAATACGCACTCAGATAGTTTACTTCAATTGCAATTGTAGCGCGGTCAAAAGCAAACAGAAAGATGTCAAGAAGCATTGCATTTCAAAGGCCATACACTATGAATTTTCTGTGAATGATTGAATGAATGATACCAAAAGAAATTACTTACAACTTGACTTATGAATTCCGAGGAACAGCCCTTAAAAAGAGGAACATTTTCTATGTAAGACTGATATAAACTCTGCGAAATCTGCAAAAAAAGTTGAAGTTTTCTGTCATTGACATTTTAATGCAATATAATATGCATCAGCAATGAAAGTGGAAGCAAGATTTTTCTTTCATATATTTACCTTGGCGCGGATTGAGATTGGAATGTCCTGGAGAACAGCTGCATCAGTATAAGCACTTTCATATTGTAATCGCAAGTGACCTTTTATTTGATTACGGATGTCCCTTCCGAGTCTATTTCTATTCATATATTTCAATAGATCTGTCATTTTATCCCTGTATCGCTCAGTTTTTGATCCTTTCACAATTAAAGCTGTCATGTTACCGATCAAATAAGCACTGAGAATCATATCAAAGGAGACATAAATCATGACAAATATCATTTCCCTCAAATTGACTGCATGTATATCTCCATAACCTGTATGATAAAAAGGTATCTCAAATATCAGTACGACGAAATTGCTATAGAAAGTCTTTAGAAAATTGATAAACTTGAAATGAAATCCAAATAAACTTACCAACAGTTGCCATAGTAACAATAGCAAAATACATTGAAGTAGTGTATCGCGTCCAAAGATCAATATCTCTAAAGTTTGAATAACTGTAATCTCCCAATTTCAAACTACCAATCCATGTATAACCTTCTTGTTGTTCAGACAGCGTAGTTGCCAAATAGTAAAAGATGCAGGCAGCTGTATGTGTGCAGTAGAGTTCTACTGTGATAAGTTTTACAATTCTAGTGAAGAGGTAATTGATCCGAATATCTTTCTCCATCTTCTGGAAAAAGTAAGTAATTCTGCGCGCTCTGCTCAACCTAATCCATAAGAGGTATCTCACTTCTTCTTTGCTGCCAACAGCCTGATTAATTCAAGTTGGTTAAAGCATTGGTTAAAAAAGCTTGAATTATGTAACTAACATGATATGCAGGTAAAAAAAAAACATTTACAAGTCTGGTTTGAGTTTCTCATTTAAAAGAGGAAGAATGGACATAACAACTGCTAATACAACATGTTTCCACCATAATACTTTCATTTTCTCAAGGAATCTTGGCGGGACCAGCAACAACAACAACAACAATAACTACGTCTCAGTCCCAAACAAGTCAGGGTCGGTTATATGGATTATCACTGCTTCATTTAAGCTTAACTCATGTCATTTGGCGAGAAATAACAAATTAAGAAAATTGGATGCGATTGATTTATTCAAGCAGATTATGGCATTGAAGAATTTACAAGCTTAGGAAATGTGATCAAAGATGCTCAATATAATACCAGTTTATATAATCTTCCAATACCAAATCTATTGACATCTACTGGAATGTTACATTTCATAGTTATCATCTTTTTTAGTATTGCCAAATATGGTTGGCCCTGTTCCATGACAATTGGCAGATCTCCAAATTAAGTTTAAGATTTAATGCTTGCTAAATCAGTCAAGAATTAGAAAAACATTAGCCATGCTACAAAATTAAAGCATGTTTTTAAAGAGGGAGCTATTGTAAGAAAAACTATCTGCCGTTGTTTCAATTTATATGACATTCTTTCTATGTTGGTACGTTCTGAAATATTTGACTTCATTCCATTGTCAATATTATCTTATACAATTTAAATATTTATGAATTAAAATTCATTTATTTATTCAAATTTACTAAATTTTGAACCATTACATTTATATTTTCTTGTACTACCACGAATATAATGCGCCAAAAAGGTTAACATCTTAAAAAGTATATCAAGTCAAAAATTGTCATATGAAATGTAAAGGATTACCTTGTAAATTATATCCCAAGGCATGCAACTAAGAAAATCAAGAATAAAATGAGATTTCAAGTACCTGCAAACCAAATAAAAGGTCAGCTAAACTACTAAAGCAATAATCTTTTATTACACAATGAAAAGTAGGAGACTGACCGAAGAGCAATAGGGGTTCGTTTGTACACCATCTTGTAGGTCTGACTATCTCTATATGCAACAAAGAATTGGAGGACAATATCCACAAGGAAAACTATTTGACCACAAATGTCTAAGAGAAAGAGTTTCCTTGGTAATCCATTGAAGAAGGCAAACTCCATAGGCGTGAAAAATGATGAATAAATTGACCATATTAGGATAAAATTTTCCCACATCCGGTACCACCTGCATGGAAATTTGTTTGTTCATGTTCACATACATTAGAATCTTGAAAGTACATAGAGTTTAAAAGATAAGAAGCTTGTGATATAGTAGCACCTTCGGGCAGAGGCGGATCCAGGATTTAAGCCCTATGAGTTCAACTTTTAAGGCTTTTAGCGTTGAACCCATTATTATTTAAGTTATGCGTTCATATTTTCTATTTTTACAGTTTTAATAATTTTTACATAAAAATTTGTGCAGAAAATTTTGGGTTCAGTTGAACCCGCCGCCAACTTCAGACTCGAGGAAAGAGGAGGAGGTGAAGTTCGTACTTCAGATAGTTTTTAAAAAACTGAATACTCCTTTAAATATAGGTACTACAAGCAGCTAGTTGGTGTTACACTCTCCTCCCAAATAAAAAAAGGATTTAGAGTAGAAAAAGTCCATCTAATTTCCAGATTTTTAATCTTTTTAATAATATATTAGATACTGACATTTTAATTTAAAACAAAACATATTTTAGAATATTTACAAAGATACTATTCAGATTATAAAAAAAAATTCTTCACTTATGATGGTTTTTGTTCAAATGTGCTAAGAGACTCCAATCATGTAAAAATTATTTTTCTCCTTAAATAAAACTAAGAGTCCCCAAATACTTTTCCGAAAATGGAACTTCAGCCTCCAGCTTGCTAGTGGCAAAAGAAAAATGATAAATAACTTAGGCATTATGGCGTTATCATTTCTATTCTTTCTATATCTTTATTTTTACAGTTTCGACCATATCCAATGTCATTAGTCGATCGGTTTCCTCTTTTTCTTTTTCCAACTTTTTCTCATCATTTAATTAAACAAAACATGCAAGTTGACAAAAAATCACACTAATAGACGAAGCCAAGTCTAGTTGCACTCTTACATGCAAAAAGAGAAAAGAATAACGTTTAGTTGCACCTCAAGTAGCATGCAAATAATTTTGAATCAGCTTGCACGTATTTTAACTATTTCGCTGAGTACTTTTTATACCTCTCACAAGATGAGTAACTCTTGTCCATCCAAAGTTAAGCAGATGGACAAAAATCATTTAATGTTTTTGCAGATGCTACTAATGTCTTGAATAATTACTATTTACTAAGATCACTTTAAAACACTATTTCTTCTCTAAAATCGGACAAGGCGATACATTTAGAAATGATATAGATATGATAGTTTACAGCGATCGACTGCTTTCAGTTGTACAGTTAGAATATGATAAAGTATGCTGATAAGTATGTAGCACATACAAAATAAAAAAAGAATATTACATAATCCTCTATTACACATTCTTTTGGACTTTTCTTTCCCTATTTTTGGGCTTTATTTTTACCTGATATTTCTCAACTTGACAGATTTAGTCTAATCATAGACAGTTAAGACAACCAGAAAAAAAAATACAATTGAGATAATATCTTTCTTATCGTATTACTCCCCCGATTCACAATAAGTGATCAATTTGCTTTTGGCACGCCCATTAAAAAAATACTAAATTCTATACAATAATACCTAGTATGACTAAACTACCCTTAATTAAATATTCAATGTGAGAAGCAAGAAATTTTTTTAGGGATGTGTTCATAAGTGTAATTTTGTAAAAACAAATTGAATTCTTTTTTTATTATATAAATGGACACTTACTTTTGACCAAAATAAAAAAAGTAAATTGGTCTCTTATTGTGGACCGGAGATAGTAATAACCAACACATGCTTGCCGTTTTGCAAGGAACATACCGCGTGAGAGTTAACAAAGACATGATTATAAAAAAAATTATGTTATATACACTGAAAGTGTATAGATTTAGTTACACTAATATAATATCAGTGACAGATAATTAATTAAGTACTATTTTTGTTAGGTAATTAATTAATGTATTGTAAGATATATGTTCCTGTAATTACCTATTTGACTGTTTTAATAAATTTTTATGCCTTTAGTTGCTGTTGGTTGTTTCTAAAAAGTAGAACAGATTACAAGTTCGTCAAATTTTAATTGAACTTACATCAGAAAATTAAGAGACAAAGAGTACTCTTCTTTTCATTATCTAAAGAATTTTAGCCATATACCTAATCCTGATAAGTACTCCAAATAATCTGTAGGGTAATAAGTAATTCAACTAATAGTATATAGCAGTGATTAATTAGCATCCAACGCTCTATTTTTTTACCGTAACTTTCTATTATGTTTTCATTCACCAACCAAATATTGCTCTAACATTTAGCCGGGCCAAATTGTTGATAGAGTAGGATGGAGTCAAAATTGTTTTACTTATAAAGTCAAAGCAGTCAACGCTATCCTAAACCAATTTGTAGGTTCTTCCATATCTAAGAGCCACGTATTGTTTGCGGAAAAAATGCTCATCTTCCTTTAAAGAGTATTCCCTGCTTTCCAGTTTATGTAACCTATTTTCTTATTATCTTTTTGGTGTATGTTCCAAAAAGAATGACCCCTTTCTAAATTTGGAAATAATTTAATTTAAACTTTCAATTCTACCCTTAATGAGAATCATTTATAACCACACAAATACTCTGGACCCCTTCTTGACTTGTTTAGGACCACAAATTCTAAAAATTTTCATTTTTACTTAAACTCCGTGCCCAGTCAAACAGGTTCACATAAATTGGAACAAAGGGAGTAGTAAGAATTTAAATTATACACACTAACATTACAAAATTGTTTTACACCATCAGTTCAGTTAGCTGACTATAATATGTTAGTACTCTATTTTTCAAGTTATTTTATCGGACTTGCAAGTTACAATAAAAATAATCGGTTGTTATAAGACTATTTAAAATAATATGTAAGATTAAATCTATTGCGCTGTAGGCGCACAAAACGTAAACTCATCAACAATATTAAGCCGCCTAGACTTTGAATTTTTAAAAAAAATTAGTTATGTACACTAATAATGTGGAGTGATAAATTTTACTTAACACCTAATTATAGATAATTATATATATAATAAGTACGAATTAGATCTCAAAAAGTGGTTAAATAACGGTTTACAAGCCAGATATATAAAGTAAAATAAGTCCTAACATCCTGATCACACTCTACGTTTTCTCTTCTAAATCACGCTTCTTCTTTCACAAGCACAGAGTAAAATATATAGTTTTAAAAAAATAAATAAGGATGTCATATTTCCACCATTGCAGCATATATAGCTGTAGAGAGAGAAAGTTAAGTTGTAGAGAGAGAAAGTTAATTAATTAAGCTGGAGAAGTCGAATGCTTAGTTACCTGTTTTCGGGATGAATAATGAAACCTTGAGAGAGATTAATCTTAAGGCGGCTAATTCTCCGGCGAAACAAGTTTAAACCGAGATCGTCTTCGATAAGTTGAAATCGACTTCCTCTAGAAGATTCTATCTTATCTCTAACATCTTCTACTTCATACTCTACTCCTCCATTCATATTCATCTCCATTACTTCCTCTGCTACTCTCGTCATGATCACCAACTATATCGATCAATTTAACCAAATTCTCGATGTGTAAATATTTGTATGAGAAATTCGGTATATTTTCAAATGTTTGTTGATTGAATAATGAACTAATGAAACTTTTCTGGAGAGTTCGTGTGATGGATAATTGAACTCGTGGTAGCTAGATTTTACGAATAAAATTGGAAAAGGAATTGGCCAGAGAAATTGGATATTAGAAAAGATGAGTTTTCACGAGAAAGTTATGGTGAAAATAGCCTGAGGAAGAATTTATGGTTTCAGCTATATACGAGCCAGAGAGAGAGAGAGAGAGAGAGAGAGAGAGAGAGAGAGAGAGAGAGAGAGAGAGAGAGAGAGAGAGAGAGAGAGAGAGAGATTAGTTGTGAGAGATTTGATGAACTGTTGAACAAAGAGGATGGACTATTTATATGCAACTCAAAAACTCTACCACAATTTTTTTTAAACTTTAATGTGTTTATTTATGTTTATATATAATTTATATAAATATGGAAATTTGTGACATCACGTGTGGGTGTTTATACGCCCACAAACACTTGAGAAGTGCATGTTATTTTAATATTTATTAATTAAAAGTATAATAATGTATATGTGGTCTAAGAAACTAAGGATAGTATAAATATATTTTAGATTACCCTGTACAATTTAACCGGTTAGTAATAACATCATATTACTCTATTTTTAAATTGTTATATCAGACTTATTATAATAAATGTGTTATTGTACGCCAAACTTAACCACTTAATTTAATGTATAGAACTTAAACTCAAAAATTAATGATATCAATGTTGATGTTTGATTTTTTTGTTTTTTGGTTTCCCACTCGATGTCCGGTACTCTTATTGGAGCTCGACTATCGGATTCGCACCGCCTAGGGCCTCATTCGGGGAAAAGTGCTCCCTACCAAGGATTTTTTCATACCCAGGACTCGAACTCGAAACCTTTGGTTAAAGAAAGAGCAGCCCCGGTCCATCCACTGTACGACATCCTTTTGGTGGTTGTTTTACTCAAAAGTTATTACATACCTTATGAGTATGAAACAATATAAATAAATCACGGGAAAATCATAGCAAACCGTAATAATCCGTTGGACCAAATAAAAGAAACGAAAATAAGTACTTAGGATTAGGGGGAGAAACATTAGAAGCCTTTATTGATAATATTGGTTTGGTCTGCCTCTCCATGAAGAGGTTCAGAGCCTTACAATGGTGTTCCTCTTGTCTATCATTTTTGGTCTCGTTGACAATTGTCTCTCTCTCTATAGTGGTGAAGAAGAAGCCCCCCCCCCCCCCCTTTTCTGGGGTTTCCTCTCTTGGTATTTTATAGCTGTGAGCTTCGTGAGCTGGCAATAAGTGGCCGTGACCACGTTGGGATTTCGCCTTTATGGTGGCGGATAGGCCATGGCCTTGCTGATCGAACCAGATGCGGGTTGAATATCGTTAATTCTGAGTGGTCGTGCCACTAATTAATCACGAATTAGCTTAAGACGGGATTAGCCTCGTTATTATCATGGGGTCGGATTGTGACCCATACAGTTAGTCCCTCCGCTTATTGAGGTTGGGCCTTGGCCTAGCTCGATGAGTGGATTCCATTGACTGTAGTTTGAGAAACTCGGATGGGGAGGTCGACTGTTGCTTTGGTCGAGGCCGAATTCTTTTTGGCGATGGCCCTTAGCCTTGTAGAGTATTAGTATCCTGTTATTGGGCTATCAAGTCATCGTTCGATCGAGGTCGAACTCTCCTCCTGGGCGAAGGCGCTTGACCTTTTGACTTACTTCGAGTAAGGTCGAGCTGCATTGTGCTCTGATCCTTACGTTTGTTTTGAGTGCGTACCCGTCGACCATGGCGGACGGGTCGTATGTTGCGCGGCCGAGGGGAATGAGGGCACGCTTGATACGTGCTTGGCGGTGCCAAAAAATTTCTAGGGCGCAAGGAGCACCTCCTCGGCATTCATTGGTCGTTATGACCATTTCGAGGGCGAGACGCCGACGGGTGATTGCAAGGCTGCTCTAGGGAGCCTGTCATAATGACGTACATTCCTATGGAATCGAACCGGTGTGCGGTTGGTCATGTAGTTAATGGTGGCTGTTGGGGTGCATGAAGGCCACTTGTGTTGCCTATAAATAAAGGCTGAGGCATTCATTTTTCATATTCTTATTGCTTGTCTGAGAGAGATTCTGAAGAAGCTTTTCTTACTGCTGTTTCACCTTCGTCTTCGTCCCCCGAACTTCGTTTCTTTCTCGTTATTGTATCAACAATGGCAGGCATTTCTTCCCAAAACGTTCTTCCGATGGATCTTCCGGTTAATTCACCGGTGACCGAAGGGCCAATTCCGGCGATGGACGGTGCAGAACTGGTGGAGACCGGCGAAGCTCCGTCGGTTGACGAGATAGTATCTCTGCCCGGAGTTCCGATGACTGATTTCACCACCGATGGTGGGGAGGATCAGGTGGATAAAGCCCCATTAATGGGGGAGATTGGGATGTCTCGACTGCGGGGACATGGGGTCATCCCCGACTATACTGACGTCATTCTCGCTAGAAGCAAGGAGAGGGTCCACACCGACCGTAGGGGATACTGCGTCTTTTACGCCTACCCCTTCAAGTTGGGGTTTAAGCTCCCGCTCCCAATGCTGGTGGTTGATTTCTGTCGTTATTACGGGGTATGCCCGGGTCAGCTTACTCCTTCTCTTTACAAGTTATTAGCAATGCTCATCAAATACGCAGAATTGGCTGGTAAGGAGATCACGCTGCAGCATGTGCTTAGCCTCTACGCTCCCCAGAGGGTTCGTGGTACCATGATTCGAGCGTGCCCTCGCGGGACGAGGGGCCTGACTGCGAAGCTGGATGATGAGGTTGAACCTCGCCCTTTCGAGCACTTCTTCTACATCAGGACTGAACATTTAGTGGCGTGCTCTACTGGATCCCCAGAGGCTTGGAATCATGCACGTAAGTTCCCTAGCCATTGAATCCTCTTTTTTTTCCTTATGTCTTGAAGCTGGATGATGAGGTTGAACCTCGCCCTTTCGAGCACTTCTTCTACATCAGGACTGAACATTTAGTGGCGTGCTCTACTGGATTCCGAGAGGCTTGGAATCATGCACGTAAGTTCCTTAGCCATTGAATCTTTTTTTTACCCTTCCTTACGTCTTGTGCTCGTAAGCGTTAACTCGTGTCAATTTTGTAGTCCTGTGGCAGGTAAGAAAAATTGACTTCTTCTTCTGTTCCGCTTTCTTTCGACACTATTCCTCAACTTTGTTTTTCTGTGATCAGGGAGGGCACGCCGCGTTAGGGCCCCTCAGTTGGCCTTCCGTCGACCGGGTGCAATCGCTCGACTTACTGCGGCGCCTGTATCGCGCTCAATACCAAGGGCGGCATCAGTTGAATCTTCAGCGGTTCCTTCTCCATCACGGGCCGCGCTTCGGGATGAGGGGCCATCGGGGGTTGTGCGCCCTAGGGCGGAATCGTCATCAGACGGGGAGGAGGAGAGGCCATTGATAAGGCATAGGGTTGTGTTCACGTCGGCTCCTCCTGTGGTAATCAATCTGGACTCCCCTTCGACGGATGCGGAGAGGGGTGCGGTCACGGCGCCCGCTCTTGAGGGCGAACAGTCAATGGGGGTTGCCCTGGCTGGCTTAGGCCACGAGGGTGCCGTCGCTTCGGCGACTCAGTCGGTGGTTCCAGTCGCTGAGACGGGAGGTAGTTCCTCAGCGGCTGGTAATGTTGGTGAGTTAAGCACCCCTTTGGCGGCTGCGGCGGGAGGTTCCACCTCGACGGCGGCTGAAGGAGGAAAAGAGGCTGTAGGGGGTGAGGACGAGTCTGAATCCGACTTGGACCCCGACGACGTCCGTATGTTCCAGGAAGGCTCCACCAATTCAGCGGTGCGCGCAGGGGGGCGATCTCGCTTCATCGAGGTTCCCACAGAGTTGAACTTATTGCTCCAAGGGGAAAGCTTGGTGCTGCAGTTTGAGCTGCTATGCTCGGAGGCCGAGAATGCGTCGTTGAGGGGCGTTACGGATGTCGGACTGATGAATGAAGTAGCCGTGATGGGCTTGAGGGTATGTACTATTACGTCGGTTCGCTTCTTCTTTGCCTTAAGTTTGTTCTTTATCCTAATCGTTGTCTTTGCTTTGCAGTCTTATCTGTTGGAGGTGGAGAGCATCCGTCGAGCCAAGGTCCGCTCGGGGATATTTTGCGGGCGCTGGAGAAGTATCGCCGCTACCGAGATCAGTGCCGAGAGTTGCGCGTGCGCTTGAGGAATGATCCCCGTAGTCGGGCCTTGGTCGAAGAGCTGGCGAGGCGGGAGCTTCAGATGCAGCAAACACTTGGCAGAATGAGTGCTCTCGAGGAGCAGCTCCGCCGGAAGGATGAGGAGCTTGAGGCGGTAAAGAGGGCCTTAGCTGAGTGTGAGCGCCAGGGCCAGGCTAAGGCGGCGGAGGCCGCTGCGGCATGAAGCGGGAAAGTGACCGCGTTGGAGGGTAAAGTCGCGGTATTGAAGCTTCAAGTGAGGGATGCCTCGTCGAGGGCTGGGGCGTTGAAGGAGCTATCCGCGT